AGAGTGTGGGATCTGGTAAAGTAAGCTAATGAACAGCTATGGATGGAAAACACTGTCACATTGCACAGAATGGAGGCATTTTATGGCCTTTGGCTATTTTGGTAACCTCCAGCAGTGTGTTTAGAAGAGTCTGAAATTAAATGGGATTTTTGCTGCTGGCAATCTGAGCCTTACTAGTGACACACCTTGTAAAATCCAAACTGATGAAAGATTTAAGGCTTATGTCCTCTCAAACAGTCTCTTATAAAATTTCCATAAACTTAATAATATGCTGTCTCTTCCTAGCCAGAGGAAATACAATGTATTGGTAAAATGACAGCAAAGATCTAAGATTGGACATATAAAGTCTGTTGATTAAAAAATACTATATATTTAGGCCTGAAAAAACATGTTTTTTTTATTTTGTTTTAAAGCTGTGTCTACATTTTTTTTTTGTGTGTGTGTATAGAATATTAGAATTTTTTATTCTAAGTGTTTAAGGCAATTCACAGTAAATGCAGATATTGTATATTTTCAGTCTGCAAAGTACAGAGAAGTGGTATAGCATTATATTTGATGATAAAATATATGAATGTGCAATAAAGAAAAGACAGTGACACAACACAAACAGTCTCCCCACACACACACACAAACGCATACATACGGCTTCCAACATTGTAAATAGATAAAGAGGGACACTTTAATTTTTGGGTTGTGAGTGGGGAGTGTGGCCAATGCCAGGGCTGTTGAAAGAAATTTTTAGTGACTTGCAAACAACAATTTAGGCAACTAAAAGGTAATTTAGAACAAGAACAATGTATCTTATTGACACACACTGATTTTTAAACACATTTACTGCATGTTAAAGAAACATTACTGTGAGTATTATTGCTGTGGAGCTGTGGCATACTTTCAGACAAATTAACAATACGGAGCTCCTAGAAAAAAGGGACATTATGATAGAAAAGAGGGACAAAGGACTTGGGCCCAAAATAGGGACTGTCCCTCCTAAATAGGGACAGTTGGGACTCGGGAGGTATGCACTTGCAGTGATACACTCACCTTGAATTACACACATCCAGCTCTCAAACATCCCCCCATGGCAAGTGCAATCATATGCACATGTAGTTCCCAGTAACACATCCAATAACACACAACTTCTATCTCACGCATGCAGCCCTTTGACATTGATATACACACAATTTCTACCACACATGCAGCAATGCACTTACACACTTACCATCCCACACATACAGCTCCTATACAACTTCTATGACACGTGCAGCCACTCACACATCTCCCATCACACACATGTTGCCCCCACAACATCACACACAACAAGATAAGCTGTCACACTAATACATAGCCACTCAAACTAATGTAAGTCCCATACGCTTACACTCATGACTGGGAAAGAAAGTTGCATTTAAAAAACTGAGACGAGACAGGGGTTTGAAGCACTGGTAGGAACTGGGGCACGGACACACTCCACGTGACCGAGAGAGATAATGAAAATATTTAAGAAAGAAGGAGGAGAGAGAGAGAGAGAGACTGGCAGAGGGACAAACTAGAGAGGCAAATGAAAACATGAAAAAGAGACATGAGGAAAGAGACATGAAGGGGCTGCAAGCTGGATTTTTGCCTTGAGCAGTATGAGTCCCATTGACGGCTGGTGAAGCTGGGAGGCACTGCCCCTCCTGACTTGTTGGGTTCTACCCATTTAACCCATGATATGTCATGCCCTGTTCAAAACCAGCTGCATCTTCAGTCATCAATAAAGAGAGGAATAGAAACTACAGATATAATTAGGATAGAATGTTGTTGTTTTTTTCTTCTAACACACACTTATCAGTAGTCCTTGAAATGCTAACTGATTTTTGCAAAAAAAATAAAAAATACAGAGGGAAGGAGGGGAGTGGGGAACTCTACAACTACCCATGGGAACCAGATTCCACTGGTGAATCCTCAGCTTCGGCACTGCTTGCTGAACAGAGCAAGCTCTCTTTGGCACAGAAAGGGTTAACTCGATGGGATTTAGTTCAAATGATCTGAACGTTCAATGCGCCGCTGACAGAGTTCAGGGCGATGATTAATGACTGGTGGATGTGCCCAGCTCCAGCTTGATTGCTTATCAGCGGTATTGTCATAAGATGCCCTCGCCACGCCACAAAGTTCCCGCACTTCTTCCTGGGCAGCCAAGGAGGAAACGCGAGGCGTCTTGTGCTTGGAAAGGAACCAGCTAGGCAGGTCGACTGCTCTGTGCCTTTTCCTGTCAGGCAGCCCTCCTAGATTGTATTCTGCAAAATTCTAAAAAAAAACAACAAAAAACGAAAGAACACTTCACCGTCTCTGACAATTAAGGCACGGTTACTCACTCAGCCCTGCAAAAGCTGATGGATAGTGCAGGAAGGTGTGGTAACAATCATAAAGGAAGGGGCACGTGGAAGCTAATTTCAATAGCATCTAGCACATAAAGATAATTATTAATGATGAAGTGGAATGTGGATCGCTTCCAAGTCTAACAATACCTAATACATCAGATGACAATGAACTGTAGTTCGCCACGTTCCAGTAATACGGGGGCGTTAAATAAAAATGTAATCAAAGTGTTTGTTATTTCATTCGAAGTAACTCGACCTATAAAATAATAATGTCCAATTTTATTTTATTATTTTGTTTGCACCTTCGCTATGGTATTTCACAAGCTTATACCTTTCTTTTTGTACATTACAGATTTTCAGGGCTATCTACTAAAGCATGGCTTGATGGGAATTCATAGTAGAAATTAAAAATGTTATGTCAAAATAACTGAAAACGCAGCTGAGTGAGAATTTTGTTAATGAATTTTTGCCTACAATTAGGATTTCTGTCTATGTATCTGTTTTATACAATTCAGGCATCATTTTTAATTTTACTTTTCTTTCTATTAATAAAAGACACAAAAAATGAAAACTTTCCTTTTTAATTTTTGCATTGTAAAGTCATGACTTCCGCACCTTGTTGGTTTGTCATTCACTGTGCCAAAAAGCAGATAATTTTTTTGCCACTTTCGATGAATACGCTGCAGTCTTCTTTTACCACCTAACTTGTGAGGTCTGGAGAGGAGATGGGAAATAAATGACCCTGGCTTACAAATATGTTTCAGGCCCGTTCTGTATTTCACACAGTGCCTCACCCAACTTAACCCAAAAGGAATCAGATGTCCTCTGCGTTACTACTTCATTCTTTTTATGCAGTAGGAAAATCAATGTTTATTATGGGGATCTATCCACTGAGCAATACTTGTGGCAAGTCTAAACTGATTCAAAATACAGTCACTGGCGGATCCGGGGGGTGGGGGGAGGCGGCGGGGCAATTTTTTGGTATGTATTTTATTGTCAGTTTAAAGGATTAATCACCCTCTCCAAAAGATACACTATTTAGTGACTCTAGTCTAAGTCACAGGAGACAGATCTCAGCCCCCCACAAAGTTATTTCAATCTTTTCCTTTAGGTCTCTGAATTTTAAGTGAAATAACATCCTAAATCCCCCACCCTCTCCTTTATCCAGATGCTAGTGTTTCTTCCTAAGCCGAGTATAAACTTTCATACAAGCAGAGAACAAACTGTAAAGCGAAGGATGGAGAAGAATAAACGAAAGTCAGAAAGATATGGGAATAGAACATAGAACCCATTTGTTCATAGACACTTGTTGCTCTGTTCTCTTTGGCTTGGCCTTGGAATTTTGGAACACAAAAGAGTCATCTGCATTTTGGAGACTGTTAATGTTGCACCATTGGCTAGATGTCCCCTTGGGTTGGTCGTAGAGTGTTATGTTCCCATGTGCCTCCAGGCTGCCTATTCTCTCATTTTACTCTCCACCATCTGTCACTAGAAATTCCACCAAACCTGACTCTCTTTGACGGGCAGGGATAGAGTTTCTCTCTTTTGTTGACCTGTGGTGTGTGTGGGAAATCCAACCTGTGATCAGGAAAGGTGGGTAGAAAGACACATAATAAGAAAAAAAAAGTAATAGTGACTTTATGAACACCAGACATTCTGTTCTTGCATATTGTTACTGTGTGTGTTGGGGGCTGGAAGGAGGGGGCAACGACGACGAATGAATTACAGGAAACAATACACTGCAATAAAAGTCAAAAGGGTTTCATTCTTTATTTTTTGGATTATAGTTTCATGATTCGACTCACGCTTTTTTTTCTGAAGTTCAAAGAACGAGGAAAACAAAACAAACAAAAAAAGAAATATGTAGTATGTCAGCAGTAAACATGATCTGTGTAAAGCACACACAAATTCTTTGACAGGCCCTCTCTATGCTAGATTGTCTTTCCTCTAGCTCCTTGTTTTGCCTCAGGTGAAGCGAAAGCCTTAGATCTGTAACTTTATACATTACTTTCACTGTCACAATTTATATATTTAAAAAGTGTGTTTGTTTTTCTACTTACGGGACTCTATGGACTACATTCGGACATGGTTACATAGGAAAGGCCATGATATCATCAAGTAGGAATCAAACAGGAGAAAGAAAGTGGTGAATGTGGACATGGCCGGCGCGTCCATAAGGCGGCACAGGCGGCCGCCTTAGGGCGCACGGGCTCTGGGGGCGCAAGATTTCAGTGACCGGCAGGAGGGAAGCTCTCCCTCCTGCCAGGCCACCATCTCGACCCCCGGCGCGGCAGTGCTGTGATCAGACGCGGCGAGGGAGCTCTAATCTCCATCCTCTGCTCCCTCGCGCGCTGCCTGCTGATGCCGTGGGAGCCGGAATATGACGTCATCCCGCAGCATCAGTAGGCAGCCCACGAGGGAGCAGAGGATGGAGATTAGAGCTCCCTCGCCGCGCCTGATCACAGCACTGCCGCACGCCGCCCAGCAGCCCCAGGGACAGATACATCATCCACACCAGCTCTCCAGGTAGGGAGGCTGGGTGGAAAATGTCTATTTATAAAATAATTAGTGAATGTATGTGATTGTGTGTGTGTGTGAGTGACTGAGTGTGTGTGTCTGTGAGTGACAGAGTGTGTGTGTCTGTGAGTGACTGAGCGTGTGTGTCTGTGAGTGAGTATGTGTGTCTGAGTGACTGAGCGTGTGTCTGTGAGTGACAGTGTGTGTGAGTGACAGAGCATCTGTGTGTGTGTGACAGAGTGTGTGTCTGTGAGTGACTGTGCGTCTGTGTGTGTCTGTGAGTGACAGCGTGTGTGTGTGTGAGTGACTGAGTGTGTGTGTGAGTGACTGAGTGTGTGTGTGTGTGAGTGCGTCTGTGTGTGTGTGTCTGTGAGTGATTGTATGAGTGTGTCTGCATGTCAGTGTATGATGAGTGTGTTTGTCAGTGTATGAGTGTGTGTCTGTCAAATCAGTGAGAGTATGTTTGTCATTGAGTCTATGTGTGACTATCAGTGTGTCTGTCAATGAGTGTCAATCAGTGTGGGTCTGTCAGTGTCAATGAATGAGTGTGTGACAAATCAATGAGTCTGTGTCTGTCAGTGACGTCCGTGTGTTTGTCATTGAGTGTGTGACTGTCAGTGTGTACAGAGTGTAGCGGAGCAGAGCGTGGTACAGGAGCTTCTGTTTCCTGTACCTGGCCAGACTGACAGGAGGTGCTCAAAGAGAGAGTACTCCCTGTCAGTCCGGCCGGGTACAGAAAACTGAAGCTCCTTTAGGGGATCTGCTCCGCTCGGCAATGCAACAATAGAGGTAGTAGGCACACCAGGAAGGGGAGTGTGACCACTAAAGGGGTGTGGGGTGCACCAACGGACAGGGAGGGGATGGGAGAGAAACACCAAGAGACAGGGAAAAGAGGGGGGAGAAGAACACTGAGGGACAGGGAAGGGACCACTAATGGTCGGGGAGGGGAGAGGGGCTGGTTAAGAGGCACATAGGTGAAGATGTTTTTTTTTGGGGGGGGGGGTGCGGAAAAATGCATCTTCGCCTATGTACCTAAAAATCCAAGCACCGGCCCTGAATGTGGAAAATGGTGAGGTTTGTATGTGCCAGTTGGCATGATGAGAGTCATCGTGTGCAACATATACAAAGTCACACACCATAGTGTTGCATACAGCTGACCTCCCAACATTGAGAAGTACAAAAAGAAGATAACATGGTGTGAATGAAGACAAGGTGTGTAACTGATGTGTGACCATAATGGCTGTGAGCAAGATGACACTTCATGAGCATGCGGCTAACGTGTATACTTGTCAACAAAGCAAGTACTCTTCACAGCATTGGCCATGTTTTATGATGTATTACTGTTGCAGTTTTGAGACTTTTTCAGGAGTTGAAAAACTGGATACCAGTAAAAAAGTCCTGGACAGGCGTTCCAATTCTAAAAGCAAACTTTAATCAATGGTTACTTTTGTACATAATTAGGTAAATAACTTGCTTAAAAAAAGGGGAAGACACTGGATCTAAAGATTCTTAGGACATAGAGCCAGGAAACCACCATTGTTGGACATTTGCCTAAAAAATCTTTTGAAAACAAACTTTCTTTTTTTACTATTATAATATTTATTTTCGAACATGTGCAGTATCTCAACTGAGTCATCTTGTAACCTTAGATAACTTACTGCAGATATTGTCCTTTGAATACTTTGTAGTTTTGTCAGTTCCTTGGGGCAAATACAAATATACAGCAGAGGAAGTTGTTACAACAAAGAATTGAAGAGAAAGGGATTTCTGCTGTAAAGCGTAACTACTTCTTAAGCCATTGTCCAGCACCATGGGATCCAGGGCAGTTGTATATTATACAGCATTGAAGAATGGCGTATCAAGTGGTCAGACGATGAATCGTGAAATTAGAAGCCTCAGCCTATTATAAAGTCAAACTAATTGATACAGGACTTTTTGGCTACTTACGTGCCAGTAGAGATTAGTGGCAATATAAAACTTAATGGCAAATGCCCTGCAGTGGTTATGGTGCCGGATGTGCAATTGTGCCTTTTTTATTTTTTAGAAAGATGATATTCAAACAAGAATACCTGAAAAAAGTGTGTATACTGTCCCCAAACTTAAAATATTGCCATTTGTATACACAGATGGGTGTAGACCAAACTAGTAACGCGGAGAAGGAAACTTAGATGTTTTGGTTCTTAAAGGACCACTATAGTGCCAGGAAAACATACTCGTTTTCCTGGCACTATCGTGCCCTGAGGGTGCCCCCACCCTCAGGGACCCCCTCCCGCCCTGCTCTGGAAAGGAGAAAGGGGTTAAAACTTACCTTTTTCCAGCGCTGGGCGGATAGCTCTCCTCCTCCGATCCTCCTTCTCTCCTCCCCGTCGGCTGAATGCGCACGCACGGCAAGAGCTGCGCGCGCATTCAGCCGGTCGCATAGGAAAGCATTATCAATGCTTTCCTATGGATGCTTGCGTGCTCTCACTGTGAAAATCACAGTGAGAGGCACGCAAGCGCCTCTAGCGGCTGTCAATGAGACAGCCACTAGAGGATTAGGGGGAAGGCTTAACCCATTCATAAACATAGCAGTTTCTACAAAACTGCTATGTTTATAAAACAATGGGTTAACCCTAGAAGGACCTGGCACCCAGACCACTTCATTAAGCTGAAGTGGTCTGGGTGCCTAGCGTGGTCCTTTAAGTCACCACTATTTGTTATTTAGTGAGTAGACTTCTGAATTCACAATTTCTAAGGAGACCCCTGCATGTCTTATATTCCATTAGTTATTTTTGTGTTTCTAGCTGAAAGGGTATATTGAAGCAGTTAATATTGTAACGCTGAGCGTCTAACACATTCGCATGATAATGATCAAATTTAAATAAATAAACAGATGGAATTGTACAAGAAAATGCATGTTTCATTGTTTAGGATTTTTTCTCAGTGAAATGAATGGACGGGTGGTCAGTTTGATCTTCTGGCCCCAAGACTCTTGGACAGGGAGGGCAAATACTACCTGCAAAACAGTCAGCTTTCTGTTCTTGGTGGATGCGTTAGCCTGGCACTCGCAATGAACTCCACATGTATGCATGTTTGCAAAAGGAAGCAATTGCTGTTTACAGAAGATGTTTTTAGAAAACATACTCCCAAAACACAATAGGAGTCAGGCATTCTGCAGGATGCTTTTGGTTAATGAATGTCTGCTTTGCATTCCAAGTTACAAAGATCTTGCTGACATTAGATAAATAAAGCACGTTTACTTGGCATGTAAAAAGAGTGTTGGCATTCTTGACAAAAATCTGTGCATGTTTACGGTAATTTGAATAATGAACTGTTCCTCATTGTGTCTTGCGGGCTGTTCTGTTGACAATTTGCAAACAGATCTCTTGTTTCTGGGATAATCGTGCGATACATTACTGTGCTAACCTAATGCATCTTCCTCAGCGTACCTTCCTAGAAACGAGTACAACTCCTATTGTTCTCTTGTTTGCAGTAAATTAAAAATCACACCAGTGTATACAACTAGCATTCCTTTATTAACCAATATACAACCACACTGTTTAGAACATAAAATAGGACATCATTTAATTGAATCATGGGATGCATAACTGGCACAGAATTTATAATAAAATGACAAGTTCACGTAGTGGGATATTATAATCTTTTGATGAGCATCAATCAACATTTTAACAGCATACGAAGAACCGTATGACGCATCGCAACATGAGTAGCATATAATGTGTTGAGTTTTTTAAAAATTCAATAAAGCTTAGTGACTTTGGTGGCGTTACCAACAGTAAAATGCTTTGTTAAGTTTGGGATTGTGATCGTATTGGTAATTAGCGGACAATAGTGGACAAAAGTCATAAACTTTTTAGATTAGTTACAAAACCGCCCTATAGTTTGTTGTACACTTAAAAATATAAATTAGGAAAATATACTTAAATAGAAGTTTTCATTTATTTGTGAATTCTTTACAGAAATATTAGAAGTAAAATACACTTTAGAGATTTTATGGTATCCCTTATCCTGCAATTGTTTAAACCGGGCTTCAAATATTTCCTTAGACACACAAATACCATTTTGGCACATATAATAGGTGTGACAAAAATAGATACACAATGTCAAAATACCCTGCTTATTTGCATTTCTGGCAATTAAAATTTCTAAATAATGCCACTCTATTGTAAAATTAGTTTCTGAATACTGGTCTATTGTCCACATACAGTTAGTACAGTCAGTGGTGTAATAGTTTGGATTTTATGGGTTTACCAATTTCCTTAAAGGTGCGCTGTAGTCTTCAAAATTATTTTTGTTTGGACAAAATAGTTAGAGGAGTCTTTCAGATTCTAGGGCACACTTTGTTATTAGAGAAAAAAATCTATGAAATTAATTCTTAAATTGATTACAATGCTTCTCTATAAGAAGTATTGAACATTTTACTCATTTGGACCGTATTAACAAAAGGGCTGATGGAGCTGAAGCTCCAGGCCCATGCCCATGAAATAGGCCCATTGATTTTTACTACTTTTCACATGCTCTTGCTTGAGTATGGAAACTTAAGAGGGATGTAGGGGCACAAAACTGGTGTGGACTGGCTGACAATAAAATTAGTTAATGTAAAGATGACTTTGGGCACTATGCAAATGCTCTTGCTGCTTCAGTCTCTCTAACACTGTGGCATGATCCCTTTCTTCTACACTCACTACATACACATTTCCTCTGTCCCAGACCATAGAACAGGAACTTTTGCTTGCTAATAAGAAGGTTAGGAGAGGAGTTGACCAGCGTGTGCTAGGGGACAGTCCTTAGAAAACGTATAGCTAGCGCATCATTGGACACATTTATGCCAAGCTCAGGGTGCTGTCTGCACAATATGCCCTTGGTTGGTCATCCTGCATGATTGGCAGGCAGCATGATGTGCCTTCACGCCAGGCTGACCATCAAATTCTTTCTGCAGTCACGCCCCCTTTTTGGGCATGTTTGTCCTTTGGGTGGTCCTGGTTATGTGATTCACATCAGTGGCGCACCCTTTTACCACGCCCACCGAAATCCCACTTCAACAGACACTGCTGTTACCCCCTACTACACATGGATTTACTTGAAAGATGAAAGCGAGAGATTAGGGTTTTTTTTTTCTGATAGCTATATCCTGTGAGTTTCCCTCCAGCACTACCTCCATCAGATACATGATGCTTGGGAGGTATAACTGTTTAAGTTTTTTTCTGTCGATAGGATTCTGTAATTGGACCCATCATAATTGTCAGCACAAGGCCCAATGGGCTCTTAAACCGGCCATGATGACAAGCCAATGGAGGTGTGTTTAGACCTGCAATGTAAACATTGCCATATTTTCTAAACTGTAATGTTTTACGTATC